GCGCATAATCAAGCCAACATGGCTAGTAACGGTCCCTGCAGCTCTGCCCTCGGTGGCGACCCTCTCAACAGCAGCAGGGGCAACAACAGTAGTAGCAACCTCCACGGACTTGCCTGTCCCAATCTCGTGCCAATCATGGTAGAACCTCCCGTCCTCGCTAACCATGATGTCGTCTGAATCGTCCTCTGCAGACCTCAAGGGCTCGTGGGCGCTCTCGGAACACTCGGCACCATCTCGAGCAGATGAGGCAGCCGCAGTTGAAGGGGTAGAAACTCCTAAGCTTTGAGACCCAAACTCGCTAATCGCTGCATTGCCCTGATTAGAACCAGAAACATTGGTGACACCTACACTAGCCGCGAGAGACTCCACGGGATCTTCTAGGCAAGGCGCGACGAGAGCAGAACGAGGAGGAGAGGGTAGAAGACTCCTCTCCAAGTCGCCTAAGATCACCTTGAAGCGAGCATCGGCACCCCGCAGTGTCGCGATACGGGACTCCAAACCCGTCTTCTCCGCATCAAGATCAGGCGGTGTCTCTCCCTTGAGAAGATTCACTAGCTCGAGGTTGCTCTCTATTTGACCCAAGTGGATCATCTCAGTATAGGCCACACCTGTGACCTTAGCAAACTGAGCTCTCATGAAAGCAAGCTTGCTCTGAAAGCGCTCCAACAGCTGATTCTTCGCATCATTCACGGCGCGTTGAACCTGAGCCTTTTGAGCCCCCTCGGCCGCCATAAGTTGATTTCAGAGCTCAACGATCGACATTTCTCGGCGATGCTTGCTGCCTTTCAAGTACTCAACCTGCTTCTTGGCGGTCTCGTATTTCTTCTCAAGAGCTAACATCACAGAACGGTGCTCGTCGGCCTCCTTAGTCGCTTTCTCGACCTCGCCTCCCTGCTCGAGGATCTTCTTCTGATCTTCCTCGGCCTGGGCATTATTCATCCAGGCTCCGCGATCATACTCGTGGATGAGCTAGTTGATATGATCAAGAAATTGCGAGAGAAGAGAAGAAGTCAAGATATC